CACACACACACACACACACACACACACACACACACACACACGGTATTTGTTTCGTCCTGCTCTTCAGCTCTACAGAATCTAAACTTTTTGTTTAATAAGCTCTGTCTGCTGCCTCCTCTTCCTCCTCCTACTCTTCCTCCTCCTTCTCCTCCTCTAGAATCTTCCTTCCTGTCTGATTTGGACTCTTTACGGCAACAGGAAGTGACATCAGGTTTGTATCTTTTTTTCATTCAACCAAACCTGCGCCCCCCTCGTACCACGAAGCAGGATTAACGTGTTTTCGGGGGGGTTTGGGTTGTCAGTGACTCAGAGCCGGTTCAGGTCTTTGCTGGGCCTGTTGCCATGGTAACTGGTGCTGATGCTGGACTTGGTATTTGTAGTGAGTTCACTCAGAGGCAGCTGGAGTCCTGAACATGTTAAACCTGCTTTGTTGTAAAAACACCTGCTGTTTCCTTATTGTTACTGGCCCCGCCCACAAGCAGTGATGTCACATTATTGGGCCGTTTCCACGAACCAGGATAGGATTTTCTGAACTAAGTAAATCTATTAGTTAGCCTGGTTTGGACTAACTAACCAGAGCTTACCTGTTGAGACAGGTGAGGCTCTACTTCCTGTTTCTCTCCTTTTTATGATGATATTGTTTTCTCTGAACAGGTGAAGAGATGAAGGATGAAGAGGAGAAGAAAGGTAAATTTTTCTCACCTGTGTTTACCTGTGTTCACCTGTTCTCAACTGTTCTCACCTGTGTTCACCTGTTCTCAACTGTTCTCACCTTTGTTCACCTGTTCTCAACTGTTCTCACCTGTGTTCACCTGTTCTTACCTGTGTTCACCTGTGTTCACTTGTTCTTACCTGTGTTCACCTGTGTTCACTGGTTCTCACCTGTGTTCACCTGGGTTCACCTGTTCTTACCTGTGTTCACCTGTGTTCACTGGTTCTCACCTGTGTTCACCTGTGTTGACCTGTTTTGACCTGTTCTTACCTGTGTTCACCTGTATTGACCTGTTTTGACCTGTTCTTACCTGTGTTCACCTGTTCTTATCTGTGTTCACCTGTTCTTATCTGTGTTCACCTGTTCTTATCTGTGTTCACCTGTTCTCAACTGTTCTCACCTGTGTTCACCTGTTCTCACCTGTGTTCACCTGTGTTGACCTGTTTTGACCTGTTCTTACCTGTGTTCACCTGTTCTCACCTGTGTTCACCTGTTTTGACCTGTTCTTACCTGTGCTCAACTGTTCTCACCTGTGTTCACCTGTTCTCATCCGTGTTCACCTGTTCTCACCTGTGTTCACCTGTTCTCATCTGTTCTCAACTGTTCTCACCTGTGTTGACCTGTGTTCAGCTGTTCTCACCTGTGTTCACCTGTTCTCACCTGTGATCACCTGTTCTCACCTGTGTTCACCTGTTCTCACCTGTGATCACCTGTTCTCACCTGTGTTCACCTGTTCCCAACTGTTCTCACCTGTGTTCACCTGTTCTCACCTGTGTTTACCTTTTCTCATCTGTGTTCACCTGTTCTCACCTGTGATCACCTGTTCTCACCTGTGTTCACCTGTTCTCAACTGTTGTCACCTGTGTTCACCTGTTCTCAACTGTTCTCACCTGTGTTGACCTATGTTCACCTGTTCTCACCTGTGTTGACCTGTGTTCAGCTGTTCTCACCTGTGTTTGCTTTCAGAGGTGAAGGACTACAGGTACTATCTGAGGATGTGGGCGAAAGAGAAGGAGCCCAAAAAAGAAACGATCAAAGACTTGCCGAGGATGAACCAGGTGAAGTGTGGCGCAGGTTAACAGGTGCAGGTGAGAGTGACAGGTGTGTTTACAGGTGTGTGTGTGTGTGTGTGTGTGTGTGTGCAGGAGCAGTTCATTGAGTTCTGTAAGACTCTCTACAACATGTTCAGCGAGGAGCCATCGGAGCAGGAGCTCTACCACGCCATCGCCACCGTCGCCAGCCTGCTGCTGCGCATCGGAGAGGTCGGCAAGAAGTTCGGCAACGGCGGCAAGAAGCCGGAGACCCAGGCCCCGCCCACTTGCCCGCAGCAGGAGGAGGGGGCGTCGGCCGAGGCGCAGCTGTGCCAGGCCCTCGCCGACGCCCAGCTGGAGCCGCCGGCGCCGCCGCGGACGCCCGACGAGGAAGCCAAAGACGACACGTCGGTGTCGTCGTACTCGGTGGTGAGCGCCAGCTCGCTGCCGTGCGAGGACATGGCCGACGACGCCGTGCTGATCGGTGGCGAGCAGAGGCAGGGCAGCACGCTCGACCTCGACTGGTCCATCACCTTCGAGCAGGTGCTGGCGTCGCTGCTGACGGAGCCGGCGCTCGTCGRGTACTTCGAGAGGAAGACGGACATTCAGGCCAAGATGGCCGCCTGTAAGGCGCAGAGGGCCGTCGAGCGCCAGATAAGCTCCGCCTCCGAACAGGAACTCGCCCAAAATTCCATTTGATCACGTGTTTCTACCTCACCCCTTACAAGTAATTGATCGTCCAATCATGTGGTCAGCGTGTCTGATGATGTCGTTCTGATAGAGACTCTGATTGGCTGGTTGGTCCGACACAATGAAGAAGATCACTAACCTGTTACATCATCCTCATCATCACTAAGCAACTTCTTGCAGGGGTTTCACAGTAAAAGCTTCAAAAACAATTGATCTGTGGGCTTTTATTGTGAAACAGAAGCAGGAATTATCACAGTATTTGTTCTTGATTCTGAGTTCTGACCCAGTTTCTTTGATTCGATTGTTGATCTGTCAACAGGTGGACAGGTAACACACCTGCACCACACCCTCAGTCAGCTGATTTACATCCTTTTGTATTTGATTTTAAGAACGTAATGACTGAAAAAAAAAAAAAAACAAGCTCAGTGTTTATTCAGCCTTTTATTTTGAAGAACTTTGTTCTGCTTCCTGTTTCTAATCTGTTTACGCTTGTCATCACTGTTTATTTGTCTGCTTTTAATCCTGTCATTGATCAATTATTGATCTGTAGTCTGAWGTTCTAATAAAAACTGATCTTACAACAGAAATCTTCCTCTGTGRTGTCACTTTGTTTGTTTTATGCTTTGTTTACCTTAAACCTCTTATGACTGTTGTAACAGAAAACATGACGCAGCATTTTTTGTGGCCTCTTATGTTCAATCACAAACTTAAAACAAACACTCAAGTAGGTAAGCAAATCTATATGACTTGTTTTACTTACGTTTAATGCAGATTTTTTGTTATTCATGAGGAGGAAGTTCTTTCCAGCCGGCAGGGGGCGCGCTTAATCCACGTTGTGAYGTCCAAGCGTGACGTCAGCTTCAGGCGTCAGCTTTTAAACAGACCCGCGAAAAAAACAGCTGAAACAACCCACAGAAGCCGTCGTAGTTCGACATGGGTCAAGAATTTCATGTTGTCAGGTGCTTCGGCTGTGAGAGCTTTCAAGTYCAACAGGTAACACACACCCGCAACACCGGAGCTAACGCAGCTAACGGCTAATGCTGCYAATGGCTAAACCTAGCTGCTAACGCTAACTTGGTGCTTATATTTAAGTCTGTTGTGCTTATATTGATCTGCATAAATCATCCTGCTGATGTTTGTAAGATAAAACTTGATGAGTGTCTGCTTTCTGATTTTAAAAAAAGAGTCTGTTTGTTAGTTTTTATTCATGGAAAAAAAGTTTGTTTTTGTAGAGTAGCGTCCCCTGCTGGTAAATAATAATTGCTACAGGAAGGACTGTTTTATCACAAAAAAAAATTACGAACAAATGATGAAAATATATATTTTTTTGTATTTTGGTTAATATTAAATTCAAGATGACACTAAGACCTGGTTCTGGGTTTTGTCTGCCAGGTGAAAAAGGTAAAGAAGTGGACCTGTAAGCTGTGTGGAGAGAAACAGACTCTGCTGAAGGTCAGAATCAAACTCATTGATCAGATGAACACGTCATTGATATGGGGGC